AACTGTTTTACAAAAAGATGAAGAATTTTTAATACAGCAAAGAAACAAATCACTCTGTACAAAGGATCTTAATGAGATCAAAGCACAGGGCTCTCGTTTAAAAACCATGAAGGCAATTAGGAGACTGAAAGGGGAAAACAATCAGCAAATGGAGAATTCCATAGCTAATAAGATTTTCCTTCAAAAATGAAGAGAAAAATTAAGAAATTAACAAAACTGATTAAAAAACTGGCCCCATAGCTAGTAAATTACATCACAGTCTCAATGAATTTAGGTAACTGAGACAAACATATAAGACAATAATAATATGTCTATGATAATGGGCACACAATATGAAGATGTGATTGTAATGTGATATAAAGGGTGATACCGGGCTGTGCTGGATCACAGCAGGGCATTCCTATGGGATACAGCTAATATTAGCTCTGACTAGATTGTTATAAACAAATGTAATTAATTGTAAAGACCAAGTTAACCAGTAGACGGTAACAAAACAACTTTAGGTGCTGGAAAGACACCGAAGCTGTTAAGAGCACCAACTAATCTTCCACAGTACTCTGGTTTGATGACCAGCTTTCACATCACAACCATCTGTCACCCTCTTCCAAGGAGATCTGACGCCCACTTCTGGCCTCTCTAGGCACTGTACATGTGTGGTATGTAAACAAAATATTCATACACATAAAAGACAAGGATGAATGATTTTAAAAATTAAGTAACTTCTAAAACATTTAAAAAGGGCAACTAGAATTTGAAAAATATAAATATAGACAAGTAGGACAAATAAAAACAAAGTATAAAGATACATAGTATAAAGTAATGAAACCCTCATTAAAGCACGGATAGCAAAAGGAAAAAAATAATCAAATATAAAATTAAAAAAATCCAACTACATATTGTTTCCAGAGATTTGCTTTAGGTACACTAGTAGGTTTGATGTTTAAATGTCCTATACACACACAGGAAACAAAAAGGAGTAATGGAAGGTATACTAATAGTAGACTTTAAGTGAAAATTTAATAGATGAGAAAAAAGAACACTCTGTCCTAGCACAGGGTCCACAAACTAGGCAGAGATAATTACAAATATAGACATACCTAACAACAGAACAGAAAGATGTATTAGCAAACATTGACAGGTAGTTCTACAACAGTAGCTGAAGATCCCATTAATCTGCTATCAGCAATGGATAGAAAATTTGGCACAAAGTCAAGAAGGAAACAGAAGAATTAACCAGTACCACAAATAATTGGATCTAACCAACATCTGCAAAACAATGCCCTCTAGAATTCATGTTCTCCAGGTACATGGACATTCTACAGCAATGAGTCTTGGTGAGATAAAATGACCAAAATCATGAAAAGTATCCTTTGTGACCACAGAGAAAGGAAGCTAGAGATCCCTGCCAGAATCAAAACTGAAAAGATCACAAGTGGGTGTAAAAAGCACAGGCAAAAGTAAAATGGCTAACAGACTCACAAGAAAAATTCGGAAATCTTTTTTGAACAAATTAAAATTAAAACAAAACCTAACAAAACTCACTAATACTGCAAAAAGCATGATTAGAAAATTTCATAGCTGTAAATGCCTGCCTTGAAGCACAATATAGACCTTAAATTAATTATCTATAGTTCTACTTTAACAACTAACAAAAGAAACAAAAACTAAACCCAAAGATAAAAGAAAATAATACAAATTAAGCAATGAGAAGTGGACTAGAGGTTAGAATGCAATAAAATAATCAACAAAACCAGAATTTGCTCCTTTGAAGTTATAAACAGGTAGGTAAACTAAAGATAGACAGAGACTTCATGTTACCAAAACAAGAGTGAAAAGTGAAGACATCATCGCCAACATTTCAGAAAGGAAATGGGATTATAAGCCAGTGGTTCTCTAGATACAGCCTTGCCTACTGTCTCTTACTGCAAGCTCAATCAACAATGAAGCTTTACAAGAGAAGGCTTTCAACACTTGTTCACCAAAAGATTCAATAACCCAGATGAAATGGACACATCCCTAGAAACAAACTGCCGGCATTAGCTAATGAAAAACATCAAAAACCTCCCGAAAGGTCCATGGAGATAGCTCCATTGGTAAAGTGCCTAACAAATGATGTCTAGCACCCACGCAAAAAGTCAAGTATGATAGTATGTCTCTGTAAACCCATTCCTGGAGGAAGCAGAGACAGACAGACTCCTGAGTTCATGGGCCAGCCAGGCTGGCTCAGTCAGTGAGCTCTGGGTTCAGAGAGAGCCAATCTCCAAAACAGTAAGGTGAAGAGCAACTGAAGAAGACATCTGGCATTGATTTTTGGCTATCACACACACATACTAACACTTGTGTGTAAAAACCCACATGAACATTTACATAGAACACATACATATATATGTGCATGCACACACACACACACTCAAAAGAAGAAAACACAGTGACGGATCACTTCAATATGAATTCTACAAAATATTTAGTAATAACTAATACCTATTCTCAAAGTCTTCCACAAAAGAAAAGAGAAAATACTTCACAAAGCATTGTGGGTAGTCTTGGCTTTAAAGGAGGAATTTGCAAGTAAAGACCAGTATCCCTTGTGGATACAGACACATGCATCCACAGAGATTAGCTAATGGAATCTAGCCACATATTAAAAAGATTCCATGGGCAAGTATGAGTTTCCCCAGAAATGCAAGATGCCATGCTCAGTATTAATGCATGAGAGAGGGGCTGGGCCCTGCCCCAACCTATTGTGTCAGACTTTGTTGACTCCTCATGGGAGCCCTTACCCATGAGGAAGAGTGCACTGGGGATGAACTTGGGGGGAGGAGAGAGGGACAGGAAGAGATGTGGGAGGTAGAACTGTGGTTGGATTGTAAAATAAAATTTAAAAGAATAAATAAATTATAGTTCAGTACCCAAAAGAATTTTTTAAAGTTTGATTCAATATCCTAAAGGAAAAGAATTATGCTGGATGGTGGTGGTACATGCCTTTAATCCCAGCACTTGGGAGGCAGAGGAGGGACAATCTCTGTGAGTTCAAGACCAGTCTACAAGAGCTAGTTCCAGGACAAGTTCTATAGCTATGCAGAGAAACCCTGTCTTGCAAAACTAAAGTTGTAGTAGTAGTAGGAAGAAGAAGAAGAAGAGGAGGAGGAAGAGGAGGAGAAGAATTATATAATCATGCTAATTAATGAAGAAAAGGCACTTGCAAAGTTTATCAATATTTTATGATAAAAAGCCAACAAGTTAGCAATAGACAGAATCGCTTCACCTAGAACATAGAGATCTGTTGATGCAATGAGTCAGGCCTCTCTCTCGCTGTGACAAATAGCTGTCACAAATAGCTTCATTTTAGCTCACTGTTTCAGAAGTCTCCTCCTTCCCTGTCCTTGGCTCCATTGTATCCAGGTCTGTGATAAG